AGAGCAAAGAAGATGCGGAGCCCAGGCTCTAGTCCAACCCAGGAGCCTCTCCCCTGCCCCAAACACCCAGAGGTTTGAGAGCTACACAGGCCGGTCCCACTCCTAAGCTGGCAGCAGATGTCAGCCTGCGCAGACTGCACATGCGAGCAGGAGATTGCTTCATCCCGAAACTACTCCATGCCCCAAGGAGCAGCCTGGGGCCTGGTGTTGCTATGAAGGCAGGTGTTGCCAGGGCTCTGACTTGTGTTAAGTGCAGGTGAGGCCATGGAGCCAAGCGGCAGGGTGGATACCAAGAAAATAAATAAAATAATACGTAGCTCTCAGCCTACTCCCAGAGCCCTTAAAACTGCCTCCATCTGTTCCACCAGCACCCATGTCTGCTTTCCCCAGCACTGCAATCTGTGCCCACCCCTTAACAGTGCTCCCACTCCCTCATCCTAGGGAGCACTTGTTTGGGAGGGAAGGTAGGTGCCTACATCACTTAGGCAGGGCCTATGAACCAGGCCTCTCCCTGGGAGATAAGGATGGCTGTAATAGAGGGTGCAACTGTATTATATTGCTCAGATAAGGGAAGATCAGGTGAAAGAGGGATGATAATGATAGCCTGAAAAAGTCAAGACATGGGTAGCTGACCCATTCTGGGAGAAGGGGATTTCAGCTAGTGTCATCCCCCCACTCCTACCCAAGAGCAAGGAAGGAGGAAGCACAGCAACTCTTCCCCCCCACCCCAAAGGAGGTGCAAGTGTCATCTGCCCACGTTACCAGGGCTGGAAGCACAGGAAATCACACAGAGCAGTACTCACACCCAGCTTACCTCATCCATGATCATTTCTGCAGCTGGTAGAAGCCAGACATGGGCACTCCTGCACCCCACACAACAGGAGACCCAGCACCAGCAGCTTTGATAAAAAGGTGTTTATTGGAACATGTCAGGTACCAGCACTTCTCCTTCAGAAAATAATTTACAGCTCAGATAAGTTTTTTTTTTTACAGTGTTAACAAAAAACCCGAAATATACAGGGCTGAGTGGGGTAGACAAAGGCAGGGTGCCAGGCACCATGGGAGGGGAAAGTAACTTGAATTGTTTGGCTCGCTCCAAACCCAAGGATGCAGGGACAAGCGAGACTCAGACTAAAGTCCCTTCCTCCCAGTAGCTTCTGGCTAGGATCAGTTTTACCGGGTTTGCCCCCCCCCCCCCCCCCCCCCCCCCCCCCCCCCCCCCCCCCCCCCCCCCCCCCCCCCCCCCCCCCCCCCCCCCCCCCCCCCCTTAAAGTTTAGGCAGATGCTTACTGTGACACTCCCAAACCCACATTTTCACTCAAGGCAGATCCTACTCCCAACTGCTTCAGTGCAAATCCATCACCCCACTGGATGACCTTCTGTGCACACACTAGCTCAGTGGTGCGAATATCCAAACCGGAGTCTGTCAGCTCAAAAACTAGACTTTCTTTTTTAAAGACCAGAGAGGGAGGGGCTGGCAGAGTTAGCCACTTGTGATATCTGGCCTGTTCATTCCCTAGCCATGTGAGGATCACAGAGCCAGCTGGAGGGTAAAATGGACAGCCCAAGTGGCACACATAGCCCCTCAGTCCCATTTGTTTCTCTGCGCTGAGGCTGGAAAAAGAGGGAAGCATCTTCTACTGCAAGATCATGTATCTATAGGTTGTAGCATACCAAGAACATGTACAAAACAGCCCCAGCACACAGGCTCTCTACAGATTCCAGCTCAGTAGATCATTTAAAAAAAAAAAAAAATGAAAGCGGCATGGGACAACACTGTGTCCAAGACATGCTCAGATTTTTCCAACGTAGAAAATATACACAGAATTAGGCCATTCCTCCTCCTCTGGCCTAGGCACAGATCTGTTGATGGTGTCATTTCTCATCCAGGTGGCAATACAGGTACATGGCCACAACCATGGCTGCAATCTGCAGAGGAAGAGTAGGTTTGATAGCTGGCTGCTGCTGGAAACCCTTGGTGGTTTTGCATCCTCACCCTGCTGTGCAGCTGTAACCCCCCAAGCCAGTATACCCTCATGTCTGCCTGTTCTCTAGGGTTACAGTCCTCGCTAACCCCTGGCTCTGGAGCCCTTGCTGTCCTATATGTCAGTCCCCCAAGTAACTGCTAACCACCTTTTCCTGATCTCGAACCCCCTTGCCATCAGGGTGAGGTTGTGGCATCAGGCTGCCATGCAAGCCCGTGAGAGCAGAGCTTTGGTTAGCAAGTGCCCAACACCCGCACTGGGATGGCTGTGAAGGCCTGGCAGGTTGGGTCTCTAGGGCCAGCACCTGTTGCCCTGCTGGGTTTAGCAGGGAGCCAACTCACCTCCAGGGCGCAGATGCCGGCTGCCACACCGCCCACTACACTGGCATTCGTGCGGATTTGCTTCAGCAGCTGCTCAAAGCAACCCTGGGGGGGTGGAAAAAAAAAATCTAAATCTGTCCAGTTAGAGAGTGCCAGTTATGCAAGATGAGAGCTAGCTGGAGTCCAGCTGAATGGCTGCATAAAACTTACCTGTTGGATGCTTTCCAAGGATATCCAAAAAAGTTGTGTACTGGCTTAAGAGAGGCAGCAAGTGTGGCAGAAAACAGTGCGCTTGACCTATCAGTATACTGCCTGCTCCCACCCAGTTTGTCACATGCATTTGTAGAGAGTTGGGCAACATTCAACTGCTCCAAGCACCCAAAAAACCCTTAGAAGCAGTCAGTCTTAGCTGCTCCCACTAGAATTTTAGCACTGCACTCAACAGGGCACAAAAACATGAATTTCTGGGCTCTGGCAATATGCTGCTTGCTCATACAAATAGGGAGCTAAAAGAGTAGCTCTGCTGCTCTGCGCTCCTTAACACTTCATTTTAGTCCCAGACTGCAATACCAGCCAGGCCAAGATTGGCACGTGCTGTTTCCTCAATCATAAGAGTTCCCAACCCCCCTTACACAAAGCTCTGGGATCACCCCACCACATGCTCCAAGCCATAAGGAGGAGGATGTGGGGCCTAGGCAGATAGGGTTGGGGTAGTGGATCGGTGCTTTTCATCCCAAGGGATCTGGAAATCTGAAGATCTCCACGTCTGAGGATTCAACCATATTGTAATAAGGCCAACTCCTCCATAGCTTTTGCACTTGAAAAAAAGGGGCATCCTTTTGCAAGGGGGCGTAGTCTTTGTTACTGTGCTGATGCTGGGCACGTGAAATGCATCCTCTAGTCCCAATGCACAGCAGTGCTTTGCAGAGGCATCTACACAGACTGCCCTCCCACCGGCTCCAGTGGGTCCTTCCTTGACTCTATAAAAACTTTTCAGCCCCAGCCACTAGAGAATGCCTCGATCAGCAGATTGATTCAGGGTAGACGCATACCAGGAGTCTCTAGTGTGACCAGGCCACAGATGTCAACAGGGTCAGCCTCTCATTTACCACCCAAGAACCATTTTAAAAAGAGAGATGTTACATGCATACCGAGACATCTCCTCTGCCTGCAAGAGTCTCATTGCATCTGCTCATACCCTTGGGGCAGCAGTAGCTTGGGTACATTTTGCCATTGTTGTTGTAATAGGGAGAGTCGGTGAAGTCCGTGTAGTTAGTCAGGCCACAGCAGTGCAGCTAGGAAGAAGAAAGCAGGCAGCATGAGACACCCAGCTTCACAACAGCACTCAGAACCAGCCCTCCCCAACCAAAAAAACCCAGACATGTCCCAGATGCACAAACCACCCCCTGAATGAAGTGGATTTGCACAGAGGATGAAGCCATGTGGGGCAGCTGCAACCTTGTACCAGCCAAAATAAGAAAAGAGGCAAGAGGGAAATAAGAAGTCTGGGAGCAACACAGTTGGTATCAAGGAGAGGGGAGCCGTCTCCAACTCCCTCAGAGCCCCTTGTCCTTCCCCCTCCCCAGGCCCAGCACGCCACATTTGCTGTAACAGTTTTGTTGCACTTTTGTATTAGCCCAGAGACTAACACTCGCCCAATGAAGTGGGACCATGTCATGCAAAGCCAATTGGGGAGGAGTCTCCAGGGCCTGCTGCTAGGCCCAAGCTGCCACCTTCGCAGGGGTAAAAAGAGGGCATCTAGAGGTCTTCCTTATGAAGTTATTTGCAGCAAAACATGCTCCCCATCACAGCACCAAGCTAGAGTTGAGCCTGCCGAGCCTCTTGGGTCACCATTGCAGTGGCCATGGCTGCCCAGCAGGTGGTGCTCTGCAATGCCCCACATGGGATGGGGTCTCCCTTCCCCAGACATGGGGTGTTCCCAGCAGCCCTATTTACCTCTTCCATGGTGGTGTTCCAGATCTGGGTGATATCTGAAGACTTCCCATAGTTCTCCTTCAGTACTGGCGTGACTGTGGCCGTCAGCAGGGTCTCTGCCTAACGAGGACAAGGAGATCCAGAGGTTGGCATTAGACAGACACCCTTAGAGGTGGGGTTGGAGTGGGCCATTCTCCACAGGCTCACTGCCCAGAAGAGCAGCACCCTAATATGCTGGCCCAGGAGCAGGAGTAAGATGGCAGGCATGTGGGGAGGACAAAAAAAGAGTTTGCTCCCCCCAGGCTGAAGGGGAAGCTGAGCCTCATCACCCCAAACAGCCTCACTTCATAACCAGACTAGGACAAGTAATAAGACTGCAAAGGGCCCCGTAAAGTAAGTGTTAACAGGAACCAACGTCCTCCAACCCACTTGTCACAGCCCTCGCTGGCAGCACACGACGTTCCTGCCACGGGCTCAGTTTTGTTGACATGCACACAGGGCCTCCGATGTTTGCATTTCAGATTTTGTTGGCAATGTTCAGGGCAACTACTATTGTTCTTCCCCGAGTCCCATGCTGCAATGGATACGCTGTTATTTTAAGTGAGAGGGGAGGGTATCAGCATGCTACTGCACTGCTCGGCCTCTATGCCAACTGAGCTTCATTGCACCATTGCTTCCCACAGTCAGTTTTCCATGTGAGCCTGGAAGGCGGTGGGGATAATACTGGGAGAAACCCAAGCTATAGATGCTCTCCTATCGAGCAAGCTCCCCCCATGCAGCTCTGCACAGGGTGCCCCAGTAGATCTGACCATGCACCACCACCCCTGGCTTCCTGGGAGTGCTCCAAGATGCATTGTTCCCCTCTTCCCTTTTATTTAAGCCTTGGGATAGAAGACGCACTACATCATCCTAGCCCCATGCTCCATCCCAAGTGCGTCCCGTTACCAAATCACTGATCCTCCATCTCCTTGGACTCACCATACTCGTATAGACGAGAGCCACCACGGCAGCAGCAACCTCCGCGATGAAGATGATCAGGACGATGGAGAAGAACTGGAGAGACACAAAGAAGTTAGGGCACGTCTCCAGCACATGGAGAAAAACAGAGTCCAGCTGGGGCACCAGCATGTCATGCTTGGCAAATGCCAAGCCTGCCACATGCCCAGCTAGGGCTGGACGATATGGGGATGTGGGAAAGTAGATTTGCATTGGATCAGTAATGGGGTTGATCTCCCCAACAATAAAAAAAGCACCCCGATTTCTGCTCAGCTTGCAGTGCTTCCAGCCCCCAGACCATGGGGCAGACAGCATTTGTTCCAGATTAGAGCATCCATGCAAGGGATTTCTGCAGGAATATATAGATTTGGGGCAGTGCCATCTTGTCAGAGGACCCGGCTTGGTGCCTAGCCAGGTCTTATTCCCTTAAGTCCTCAATACCACCTGGCCCAGGTACGGTCTCATTGACCCCCTCCTTGGGGCCAAGGAACCCTCTGCACGCCCTCCAAGCCCCTTCTTCCCACCACAGGCTTGCCACATCAGAGCTGGGCCAGACAGGAGACACAAACGCCACGTTCAGGGCCAGCCCGAACACTTGCAGCTCAGCAAGCAGGGCAGAGAAGTAGCAAAAGATCTCCATTTACCGTCATCAGGAGGCATTTGCTTTCCTTCTGGGCCCCGCAGCACCCCAGGAAGCCCAAGACGAGCAAAACGGCTCCGATGGCAATGAGGAAGTAGCCCACATTGACGAACTGCAGGACCGAAGAGGAGACCGAACCGAAGATCTTCATGAACGAGCTCCCATCCACGGAGACCCAGATCCCGACTCCTAGGAGGGCCGCGCCGCCGAGCTGCAAGGGAGAGGAGACGGGCGCGGGTTATTTTGGACAGGGAAGGGAACGGCGATCTCCTTCCACTGGAAGGGGAAAACTCCTTTAATGATGGCTTTAACAATTAGTGCCAAGGGGGTCCGGTCACCACATTTCCAAGCAGTAGGACAGCCTCTGTCCCCGGTCAGGAGAGACGGCAGCAAGTAGACCGTGCACTGCAAAGCACAGGCAGGTTCGCACGTTAGTGCCTGGCCGTGCACGAGCAACCCGCACGCAGGCTCTGCCAGTAGAGGAGCTCATGAAGACCCGTCATTTTAAGGGCAACAGAAAGCAGCTGCGTAGGGACACGCTCCTCCGGGTGGAAAGCGGCTGGGCAGGCCTGCTGAGTCCGTCCTCTCGGCTACAAGGGCCCCAGCCTGTACCAGCACCGCCATGAGGGGGCCCCGGCAGCCATCTTGGAACGTGACCTCACGGGGCGGAGGAGCTAGGGCTCCATCAGGCCCTCCGTACCCCAGCCAGGAAGGGCTCATGCGCTCCCTCATCACCTCCTCAGTGTCCAAGAGGGTTTTCCCCACTCGGAAAGCCCAGTCCGACCAGCCTGGGGGATACAGCACAAAGAAATATCCCCCCACATGCCTTTAGAAAATGGCAGCCCTTGCCAACAGCAGCCGCCTCACGGTTTCCCTCAGGCCCAGCAAGAGCCAGAGCCGAGCGCGGCAGGGACAGGACACCGTGCTCGCCCGCCCGGGGAAGAGTGGGCTACTTCGCCACCACGGCTCAACACCCCCGCCCTTGCGGGGGGAGACGGCCGCCGGGGGCACCGGGTCTGCGGGGACAAGCCGGCTGTGTGGCAACACGGGTCTAGGAAATAAAGACCAGATGTCTTTTAAAAACCAAAGGCCCCCTACCCTACGCCAGAGGATTTTGCATTTGGGAGGCCGGCCCCTTTCCATGGGGTTTGGATTAAAACCCCAAGACTCGTCTCCCCGAGCAGTTGTGAGGGAGCTGATGGGACATCTCCCCTTTTGAAGGAGCGTGACTTGGGAAGGCAGGGTGCGGAGGTGGGAAATAAAACGCTTGTGAGCAGACGGGCACCGTCTCCAGCCCTGCTGGCGCAAGCTCGCCATGGGGGACGCCGGGGAGGCCTAGTCCCACCATAAAAGACACAAACACTTGTTGAGGTCTTAAAGCGGTTGTCCGTGGTCTTCCAGAGCCCCCCCCCCCCATGTAGCAGAGACAAGAGCCAAGCATGGAGGCCGCAAACACAGACCTCTATTATCCAGCCATGCACCATGGCAATTTAAGCAAGCGAAATGGAGCCAGCAACGCCTTCGATCCGGCAGTCGGACATGAGGGTTTTGGCCGAAATCGCACCGATGGCTGTAGCCCCCTCCATGGGACCAGCTCTCACAGCTGCGGGCAGGTCCGGGGTGGGCGAGGGAGCAGGATGCCTTTGAGATGGGCACCTCCGGGTCCTGCACCAGGCACAGCATCAAGGGGCTTCTTGGCTGTGCAAGCCCGTTTCCCCAGGGCTCGGCTGCACGGTCCACAAGCACCTCTGCTCTTCTCCGATTGTCATCGTGCAGCCCGACAGCTCGTCTCCAGCGTCCTCGTTCCACCCTGCTCAGCCCCAGCCCCCGCGAGCACCCCCTGCCTTCTAGCAAGGGCTCCCGCAGCTCGAGAGCAGCCGGCAGGTATCAAATTAAAGGCCAAAAAGGAAAAAAGGCCTCCATATAGCTCCACACCTCTGGGGAGAGAGGGTACAGACCCCAAGCCATCTTGCTAGCATAGGAAGGCACGAGTATGGCCCCCTTTTTCCTCCCCCCACCATCCCCATGCATAAAATATGGAGTCTTTGTTCTATTGGTGATAAGTTTTTAAAAGTCAATCAAATCAATTTGCAAGCCCTTGAAACTAGGGGCAATGCTAGGTCCTAAGAGAGCAACCTCTATCTCCTGACCATTGGCATTGCAGCAGGAGGAAGGCAATTTCAGGCCACAGAGGAGCATTTAGCGCCAGCATGGCTCTCTCTGCATCCACACAGGTAGGCAGAGGGGAGCATTTTCCCACCCCATGGCCTCCAGATTTTAGGCACGCAATGTGCTTTTACCTTCTGGCTGCAGCTGCGCATTCAAAGCCTTCCTCCCCCCCTTGCTCCGCAGGCAATGCAGAGATGGGGACGCATTCAGGGCAGCTTGCCCCCAGCATTTCAGGGGCAGCAGCTTTCCAAAGCGGCAGCAATTAAAAACTGCAAGATGGAGGAGGGGGTCCCTTCCCATAGCCACCCACACTTGGAGCATCAGGAGAGACGGACCTTAAAACGAAGGAGAAGGGACAGCTTTGAACATAGCAGGGCAGCGCAAGTACTTACAAATATGGCCAGGTTGAACAAGATCATGATGACCTTGATGAAGCTGAAGCAGCTCATCTTGGCGTCTGGAAGAGAAGGGTGGAGGGGTTCATGGGAGATACAGCTTACGCTTTAATAAGCCTGGCTGCACTGCACCCCCATGTTGCAAGAAAAAAGTTTCGCAGGGAGGGGAAAAAAAGTCACGCCCCAGCCCAGCCTCTCCATAGGTGATCCTAGCTTTCTTCTCCAGAGGAAAAGGGAAAAAGAGGACCTTAGAGGCACATGCAGAGCTCCACTCCGCACCAGAAAAAAAAAAACAACCCAAAAAACCACAAAGAGGTTGTGATTAATTTATCACATCAGTGCTCCCTGCTGAAAGCTCGTAGGGGGAAGGAAAAAGGAAACTTCAGCTCAAGGATGCGAGCCCAGCTCAGCAGCCCAAATCCTCCCTCCAGATGCAGGGTGGGATACTCCAGTCGTTGCATGCACCCCTCCAAGCAGGGAGGAGTGGGAGACCTGCCGCCCTCCAGCGAAGCAGCCCCGGCTGCACTGAGGCTGCTTGGGGAGAGGGGATTTGCAGCTAGAAAGGCAGCGCTTACCTCAAAGAGCACGGACCCAATCCAGGAAAGAAAAAGAAAAAAAATATATATATATATAGGAGTCTATCCAGGGGGAAGGAATACAAGCCAACCCCAGCTCCCTGCCCAACTTCCTGCTCCTTGTGAAGCACGGAGGCTCCCGCCTGGCACTTTATTGCAACAGGTGATGCAGCTGGGAGCGGCCTGCTCCAATCCGGGCCGGCCCTGCCCAGCCCCGCGCCGCGCCGCGCCGCTAACTAACTTCTGCCTCATGAGCGCCCCCTGCTGCCCTCGCTGCGCCCGGCAGCCCGGGCTCGCAGCGCCCGGCGGGACGCGGGAGGCCGGCGGCCGCGGGCTTCAGGCTTGTCCCGGCAAGTGAGGTGCGGCTGGCGGCTGTCCTGCAGACGGGGGTGTGGCGCACACGGGCAGCGCGTGCAAGCCCGATGGGCAGCGCGTGCGTGCGCGGGGGCCTACACCGGTGTGTTTGGGTTTGCACACATGGGCGCGAGTGTGTGTGGTAAAAGTGGCTCCCCCCTCGCGGGCGCGGCCTACGCCAACGTCCCTAGCGCTGTGGCCTGGCCTGCGCCCCCCGGCCCGGCCTCCTGTTTTTGGAGCGCGGGGCACCCCCTGGAAAGGCTTCCTCCTGCCCGTGGCTCTGCGACCAGCCCCGGGGGATCCCACGAAGGCAGCTGCTCCTGGCCCCGAGACGGCTGCGTCTCCCCCTCTGAGTACCGGGGCGGGGGCCTTCTTTCCTCCCGGGCCGCTTCGCCGAGGCTCAGGCTGGTTTGCACTGCAGTAGAGAGGCCCCCATGCTGCCCACCAGAGAAGCCAGGCTAGGATCAACAGTCACAGTGCCTCACGTCCTAGCCTTGGGCTCTAACCACTGGCCCATGCTTCCTCTCCGGCAGGAGCTGTGCTGGGGAAGGGCAGGAGAGGGTGGCAGGAGCAAGGAAAGCCCCTTCTGCCCTGCCCTCTCCCACCCCCAGGGCTGCAGACCCTTGGGTTGCCAGTGCTGCAGCTGTGCAGTGTCACTAGAGGGCGGCCTGCTACCACGGTAGAGGAGCCCGTGGCCCAGTAGCCCACTGGTTCCAGTGCAGCGGTAGGGCGTTGACGCCAGGCCCCCCAGTAGCTCTGCCTCTGCTGCGTCTGTGAGGCAGGGGCTGGGAGCCAGCCATGCCATGCCAGGCTGGGCAACAAGGCTGCAAAGCCAGCCCGGCACTGCCCCACACCCTGCCCCTAAACTCCCCGCTCCTTGCAGTGCCACTGTCCCACTCCTCGGCTTCTGGACAGTGCCTGGCACAGCTTTGGGGACCTCCAGCCCAACTGGATGGGATGCCGCGTGCCTATCCATGCACCAAGATCGTTGGAGCGAACACATGGTACCTGCAACGCCGGTTGTGCTGAGCCCACCGCGTCCCGACCGGCCCCCAATGTCTCGGCCGCAGCAATGCAATGGGCTCCGCCATTCCTGGCTGAAAGGAAATTCGGTGTCTGCCCACACCGGGAGTCTCACCCCCCCAGCACCTTTCTCTCAGCAACTCCCCCAAGGCCCGTGGGCTGTGCCTGAGTGGGGAGCCTGGCTTTTCTCCTCCCCTCCCTGACGGCAGGGAACCCAGGGCAGGAAAAATACCAGCAGGACCCAGGTTACCTTAACTCTGCCCTTTGGGGGCTCCAATCAGGGCCACCCTTTGTTTCCATGGACCCCCACCATTTCCAGACCCGTTTGCTCAGTGCCCTCAGCTGCGCCATGGAAATCGGGTGATCCCGGTTTCTCTCCCCAGAGCCTAGCTGCCTGATCCCGCAGGAAGCCAAAGAGCCGGGTATTTACTTGCTGTAGCTGTTCCCATCCAGCTCTGCTCTCTCCCTGTCTCCTGCCCAGGCATCCCCTCCAGAGCCCCAGCTTTGGGGTCACCCTGGAAGGTAGGAGCCCAAGCTGCCCCAGGAGGCTGATGGGGCCTGACCAGTCCCAACTGGTGAGCATATGTTAGGACCATCACGATGCCTCACCTTACCCATGCTCTCACATGGCTCCAGGTGAGGCCTGGCTGTGGCTGACCGCACACGGTGCCCCGTACAGCGCCGTGTGCGACTGCGAGCTAGCACGGAGGAGTGCCAGCCCCTCTCCCATCCTGCCCACACCCTCCGCGAGGCAGCGCTGTCTGCACCGTGGGCTTAGGAAACGCATCCGCTCGCCCGCCGGAGGAGTGTCGAGCAAGAAGCAAAGCCAAGACGTTCCGGGGTGTGTCTGGGAGCTGGACGTGACCTTGGCCTGACCGCCGCAGGACACTGCGGGACTTTGTGCTGACCCTCGCGAGCCCCGTTACAGAGGATTAGCACACAGCCGGCACCTGCCCAGGGCGGCCCGAGCGGCACACACAGCGCTCTCTGTTCCAGCTCCTCAACAGATGTTGGCAGCTGTTGCTTTGTTCCTCTCTGCCGCTTAACCCTTCGAGGCTCGTCAGCCAGGAACGAGGCTTGGCTTTGGGTTTTTAGGGAGGCCCCTTCTCTGCGGGAGAGGACGGAGTCTCACCCTGTTCCCACTAGATACCCGCCCTGCGCCTTGTCTTCCACCAGGCCAGGCTGCTAAGGGCAGCTTGCGTTTGGAGCCGGAGGCAGGTGTTTGCTCACAGCAGGTTTCATTCCTCATCAGGAAACTTTCAGCATCCAGTTGCAGGCAGGACCTGAAAAACGCCTGGAAGAAACCAGAGGCAGACAAGGTTATTTAGGTAAATGTGCTATCTTTTATTAGAGCAACTAAATAGTTGGGGAAAAAATGTTCTTTGCAAGCGTTCAGGTACAAACACCCAGCATTTGTGCCCGAACGCTTGCAAAGAACCATTTTTCCAACTATTTAATTGGTTTAATACAAGAAACCATCTCAAAGAAACCTGCCTATGTCCTTTGACCACCACAGCTACAACCCTCAAGCATGGCAGAAACCATTGGTCTCGGGGCCTCTTGGGAGCAGAATCGCAACCCTTTCACCTTCCCATTCTCCTCCAAAGTGAGGACTCCCTGTGTCTCCCTGAATGCACTTTTCTTCCATGGTGCTTCATGGGAGATCCTGGCTGCAGACGTGTATCCATCCCCAGGCACATAGCAGAGGACTGGGTTGTAAGGCAGCCAAACTGCAGCTCCGATGGGACAAAGGCGCAGAATATCATGGTCGAGACCTAGTCTCTGGGGGATTTTTCTACCAAAAATGGACATTTTCCATAAAATAATTAAAGTGTCGTCAACCACCCCCTGTTTTCCAGGCCAGCTGTTCCCACAGGACGCTCTCAGCCTTTGTCACAGCCTCGGGGAAGAGCTGGTCAAGGACTCCCAAGACGTCCACAGAAAACCACTTCTCAGCCCAGCCAAAAACTTTCCGGTCGGTCAAAAATGTGAGTCTCTTGATCCATATTTTCTAGCCACTTCACAAGAAAAAAAAACCTTCCTATTTTGGTCACTCTGTTTTTCCCCTCACCTCAAACAACTGTTCTTCCCCCCATGCCACGTGCCCACATACCAGCGCTTTGGAAAGACAAGGCTGCTTCCAATAATCCCAAAGCATTGGGAGTTCAAGTTCACTTCTGGGGCTATTCTCACTATTTTTTGCCTAGTTTTTGTGTGTGGTTTTTTTTTAAGCTTTATATCTATAATCTAGCAAAATAGCGCACATTCGGATAGCTCTCTTTGTTTTTGCTTTGATCTTAAAGTGAATAATTTAAGTCCCTAGCATATTAGTCAAGCTTCTCGTTTCTCTTTAGGTAGAGAAAAACGTGCGTCATGTTCAGTCTGAGGAGGTGCCACCCCATCTCACTCCCCGCATTTCAAAATCCTTGATCTGCCCGTGATTATAGCAGAGTGCGTCCTGCCAAGCCAGCGGCTTTCCTGGAAATGTTTTGCAAATTTTGCATCAAATTCATTGTTTTGGCCAGAAAAATACAGATTTTTCTTCTTCTTCTCCTGAGTCAAGCTAATTTGTTTTGACCTGGTTGAAGTGTATGGAAAAGGCAGTGCATTACTGAACTGATTTCAAGTGAAAAAAAAAGAGAGAACCCCCCAAATTTGGGGCCAGTGAACTGCAAAATCCATTCTTCCTCTTGCTAGGCAGGGGACGCAAGAATGTGAGAGGGAAACGGCCACAATTCTCCTCCGACGCAGCGGGACCCCACAGATTTCAGGGTGATGACCTGATTTATGGCGACGTGCACCGCAGTCAAATCCGGGCCAGGAAGTGAGATGGATCCATCTCGTTTCCCTATCTGCTCCAGGAGATGCGCTAGGTGAGGCTGGTGGGACCCACAGCGGCAGAGCCGTGCGTCTCCTCCGATTCCTCTCCGCTGTCATCTGAAGTGGTTTATTCAGCAGCAAAGGCCTGACCTCTGCGCTACAAACAGGTGCAAATCCGCGGAGCCGATGACTTGATCCCAGCTCAGGATGCGACCTCGCGTCTAAATCCGGCATTTTAATCTCTCCGGCGTCCCTTGGAATGCTTTAATAAGGGGATTAACGAGGAAGTTAATACTCTTGCTCTGCTCTCGGCCAGCATATTGGGAGAAGTGCATTTGCACACTCTTATTTGCATGCATTTAGGAGGCTCGTGAGCCCATTGCAACCCTTCAGCCCTATTCACTTGAGCACTGGATGGTAGGTGCCATGTCCTTGGACCCAGCTGGGATCCAGAGGCAGGGCAGATATCTATAATGAAGCTGGGAGGCCGTGTTCACCATGGGGGGACATTTGGCTTGTATCCCTCTGCCTCGCCACTTTGTTTTGAGTTCTCATCTAAGCAATGCTGATTTTCTGAAGGCAGCAGCAGGGCTGTGCAATACAGACCCGTGTGTCATGTACAGGGTGGATCCAGGGGAGTGCAGGGGTGCAGTCGCACTCCCCTTTGATTTCTGCTCCACCAGAGTTTAAAACCAACTGCCTGGGAGGGGCATTTCTATCCAGGCAGCACTGAGTCGATTGATTTCATGGCTCATTGACATCTCCGTGGTTCCTGCTAATCTCTCTCCACTCCGCAAGCATTAAGGACCCTCTCTCCTATTTAATGGTCTTGATATTTCACTATGCAAACTATCTTTTCTTCTCCAGTGTTGCTGTCTGTTAGTCACACTTGCTAATGTCTCCTCCCTTGGACAGCCTG